TCGCTAGATGTTAGTTTCGATGAACAACCCTTTGGAGATGAAACAGCTGATGATGCTAAGACTGTGGTCACGTCAGAACAATTGGAAAAATCCGAGTCCGTTTTTTTTTGAATTTTGTTTGTTTTGTGAGTGTGTGCATCATGAATATTAACTTTCAGGAAAGCGCCTATAGCTATGAATGCAATGACTCCCTCGCTTGTGCAAAGAATCGCTGGTACACCTGGCATTTTGAAGAAGATGGACAGTCCATCGACAGCTGAGAAGAAGGTAAACGTTGAAGTTTTCTGCAAGTTGAAGAGATGCTGCAGGCTTATGGAAACTTCAATACTGCTAAATGTTCAAAAATTTTACCTGACAGTTAAGTTACAGCTACGCCGTGTTCATTTTGACAACTCTTTGGAAAGCAATATTGCTAAGGCGAATAGTGATGGGATTGATAAGGGATTCTCGCTTGATGAGCCAATCCCAGCATCACCGAAGGGAATACTGAAATCACCTGCACCAAGACGGCCGTTCGCTAATGTTCAACTCACTGAAGAGAAGGTATAGTACACACAAAGGGCTCAAGATATCTGAGATGAAGCATACCTGTAGGCGTCGACTACTCCATCACTTGACAATAATCCATCACCAGACAAGAGTGAAACAAATCTGGACGATGAACCGTTATTCGTAGATTTGATGGATTGCCAAGAATCGATAGCTAAGGTCATCAATAAGCTCGTGCCGATCTCAACGAACATCGGGTTGGTTGAGAGTTTTAATTACTTGCTCAGTTTATTTTTGCGGATGTAATTAAGATAAAGTACCTATCTTCATTTTCCAGATCCATCACTCTCCGGAAAACGTTGGAAGCACGTGGGATAGTACAAATTCGTCATCTTGCATGCATGACTCGTCGTGAGGTTGCTGCACTAAACATTAAGAAACCTCGCGTTGAAACGGCTATGAAAGCGTTGGCTCAGTTTGCCCGTGATTATTCTCCACAAAAACAGCGAGCAGCAACGCTTATAAATCATGTGAGTTTTTTAACACTT